ATTCGAATTGCTTTAACGACTTGCATACTCCTGAGTTCTTGAATAAGATTCGTGCTTCCGGAGTAGAAAATCATGAGCTCATTTTGAAGGTAGGCACTCCGATTATGTTACTAAGAAACATTGATCATTCGATAAGTTTGTGTAATGGTACTCGATTGATAGTAACTCGGTTGGCTAATGACTAGATCCAAGGAAAGATTTTATCTGGAAGACACATGGGTCACGAAGTTGTTATTCCAAAACTATCACTGATACCATCTGATGCAAGAATATCATTCAAGTTTCAACGAAGACAATTCCTTGTGGTTACTTCTTATGCAATGACGATGACATTCATGCTTTACGATACTAAAAAATATTATATTTCATTATATGTTGTATTTTTATCCTTTTATAATGATACCAATGTAAATTTATAACGTAATTGCGACCCGTGCAACGCACGGGTATGATACTAGTTTAATAGAGTAGTAGGGGAATAAAGAGGTTTGCATATTACTCCTCAAATTCGACTGGATAATTACTAAGAAGTACGAAATTAAACTTTGATCATAAATTAGTTTTGCCTCAAATTAAGTCCGTTGATATGAAGCCTATTGTCTACATGACAAAAAATGTTCAGAGCATGTGCAATGGCAAGGAAGAGGGATGACATGCACTGCCACATCACCTTCTTCCACTCATATCATGGCATGGCAAGACCAAAATGTCTTGCTTTATGAGGCATGAGTGTGGCACTTCATCCTTCTATTTTTCTTTTTTTTTAAATAAATTTTTTTAAAATTTTTTATGAAAAAAATGTACAAGAAAGTATAATAATTTTTTAATAAAATAAATAATAAAAATATTTTTTTATGTTTAAAAAACATAAAAAATGTAAAAAAAGTGATAAAAAATAATGACTTGCCATTGTAGAACTTGCCACTCCATTCACTTGCCACACACTGACTGGACTATTTTTGATTGATTAAAATGTTCTATGTCACCGTGTGACATTCTATTTTTGCCTTGCCATTGTTCGTGCTCTCAAAACTGACTTGATCTATTATAGACGGTCTGGCGGATTTGACTTTGATGAATGAAAATCCAAGTTGGAGGGACGCATTTAAAATTAACAAGTGGCCGGCCCATTCAGTTTGGTAGCAGAGTATATCTAATTTATTACTCTCCCACCCTTATTTTGCCCTTCTTACTTTACCTTTCCAAGGATTTTAAAGTCATTTCCTAAATTCACCCATCAAATACAAAAAATTATTCTATATTTTTTCAATTAAAAAAAGATGATTCCATGCACCACAGCAATGAAAATGCTAGCTAGTTCATAAAAGGAGTACGGAGTAATAAATAAAAGATTTTACCTTTCCCAATCAAGTTTATTTTATTCTTTTTATGGTACATAATTCTATATGATGTTTAATATATGTCGTCATTAGAAATACGTGTTGGATAATGACTGATTATTCAAATGACTCTACGAATATGGACATTAGCAAAAAGTGATGAGTAATGACTAAATATTTCAATGAATATTCAAATTATTTTTAATAATGGCTTATTCTATTTGAATTGTGTAATAAGGACATGTTTGCGTCATCTGACCGAAGCATGTCATCTCACCGTAAGGTGTCGTCTCACTAGAGTCAATCCCTATATATATACACACACACACATGGTAAGTCTAAAATGACCTCAGTGTTACTTGTGTCATTTGCTTACACCAGTTCGTCTGGGGTACCTACGGTGCTCCGTTTGTAAAAACGACGGTTCCTACCCCCTAACCCTCCCTCTAAACCCTCCACCCCAGCCCCACCCTTGCCCCCTCACCCTATCCCCCCTTCCGGTGTACTACCAGGGTAGGGAGGGGCCGGGAGGGCCGGAGGGGGGCTGGGGTGGGGGGTTTAGGGGGAGGGTTAGGGGGTAGGAACCGTCGTTTTTGCAAATGGAGCACCGTAGGTACCCCAAACGAACTGGTGTAAGCAATTGATGTATAAGTAACTGGTGTCATTTTAGACGCTCCCTATATATATATATATATATATATCCTCCGCAACGCCTAACCGATTCAATATTTTATTTGGGTCGAAAATGAATCAATTCGTTATCCGTTATCCATAAATCCGCTAGGATACAACAGTAGCTTTTGACGGAGGTGGAAGGGGGATAAATGATAGAGACGAAAACATTGAATGTTTTCTAATTTCTACTCCTTAATGTGTTTTTATTCGGGTTTTTCCACGCGGCTTTTCCTCTCGTCTTAGCCATTTGGATCGTTTCATAGTCTTACACGTAATAAATGAATTTATAAAAACGGATGATACTTCCAAGATATTATGTTTAAATAACTCATCGTTTCCGTGACATTGAGTACCAATGTCATGCGATGACTGGGAGAGTTTCGGTGCCGCATTCGTAAAATTGATGGTTCCTATCTCCTCTAACTTCCCGGTAAATTCTCCCACCCACTCCGATCCAAACACACCCCCACCCTATTCAATTGCACTCCTAAGTTGATTTTGATTTTGAAATCAAATTGGGGGGTGTTCGGGTCAGGTCGGAGGGGGGAAGGGGTTTACCGGGGAAACCGTCAATTTTATTAGGTGCTTTTGCTTTCGACTTTTGTGAAAATCACTTTATCCACAAGTTAATCACTCCCAAACACCCTCTAAATAAATTAAACATACAAGGGCATGGGGTTTGGAAACACGAGGGATATATATATATATATATATATATATATATATATATATATATATATATATATATATATATATATATATATATAAATATAATTTTGGTCTAATCAATAGTAAGTTGGTCTCTGATACGTGTAATAGTTACATGTAGAATATGATCAATTAGTATGATGCCTCTCTTTCAAAATATGAGTTCTATTACCATTTA